CTGTACATTTGGATATTGTACATTTATTGTAATTCTTTCATATATACGTCAAACTAAAAGATTCTGACGTTCTAGCTTAATAACCAAGATGCAAAACAGCAACGAAAAAATAATGTAACCGTATTCTATTTAAAATTTAAATTCTAAGAATGCTCATGCACAGTTTGATGGGAGAAAACAGCAATAAATTATTTTTTTCCTTAAAAAGACTGCATAAGCAAAGAACAAATTGCTTTAATTGTGCTTTCGTTTCATTGTTTTGATCGAAACTCTAGAAAGAGAAAATAGGTCTAGAAACGTTTGAGTTGTAGTATTCCATCGTGTTACTGCCTCTTCAATTTGTCTAGTGTTTCAAAATTAGCGAAGCCCCACGAATCCTTTTCTGAATATCGTCAACATTAACAGATTTGACAATACTGCAAACTTTTACATAATTTATTGAAATTTATGACGCTTTCGTTTTTCGTAGAATATTTTATGTCAATGGAATATTTATACTTTAATATAAGCATAATTTAACATATAAAAATTTTAGATATAGTATGCTATTTTTTGTTTTGTTTTACGGCATACTTATTTTATACGCTTTCGTTTTTTAGTAGTATATTTTACATTTATGTAACATTTATAGTGTAGTATAAAGCATAACTTATAAAATTCGAAAATGAACGTAGGTCCGTAGTATCAACTTTTGAACTGAAATTTATTTTACAGCATACTACTTTTATACGCATACTGATATTATTTGTTTATGTGATATCATAATTATGACTTACCATTTAGAATAAAGTATTAGTTTATATTACTAGATTCCAAATGGCAAATTAAGTTGTTTTTTAAATATGATAATAATAAAATTCAGGATAATTGATTTTCAGATTTATGGATTCAAACTTATTAGCATTAAGAATGCTATTTCGAGCAATTAGGGGAATAATTTACCTTTGCATCCTCAAAACTTATTGATATTAGACTTAATGTATGGGGTTCATGACAGCGAATCTGTAAGGATTCCTTCAAGTTTAAGTGCCTTGATTAGCCCAGCCTGGAGAAGTTCCGAAGGGTTTGAGATTTTTGTTTAGTTTCTCCTTCATCGTAACGATATAACTCACTATTGATTTGAATTTTTCATTTTGTTACATAGGTCTTAAGTGCCTTAATATGAGTTTGTAAGTGTTGTATGACTGGACTAAGAAATGTAGTTTCTGACAGGATCGCTGTGTTGTCGTCTTAAATTGCAAGAGAGGTGTCTGATTACTGTGGAATGTGGTTCACATAGTTCTAATATTAGAAAAGGTAAAGAGAAAAAAATGTCTCTGCCGTGGGCGCACTCAGCTAATCAATGTTTACTTTTATAAAGCGCTAAGTGTTGCCACACTTTTTTATATTCGCTATATTATTTATACTTGGGATGCAAACTGATGAAAATATCCAGATTTGGGCCGGATATCTTCACCAGTAAAAACTTTCACTACTTGGAGTTATAAATGTTTATTTTTTTTTTTTTTTTTTTTTTTTTATTATTTATTTTTTTTTCTAGCACATTTTATTGACAAAGTATGTTATAACTCTTAACACACAAAAATATTAACTTAATATTTGAAAACACTGGATAATATTTTATTAGTTATTTGTGTTATTTATTTATTACTTATTTATTGGATTTATGTTATTTACTTAATTGTTTTACTTTATTTATTATTTATGCTTAACTTTATTAATTTTGACTGTTTTGAAGCTAAGAATGGCAACAATTACTGAAGCAGTTTAAAATGGAATCCTAAGTTTTAAGACTTATTTTGGAAAACAGGTAAGATATTATTCTTATATATTCAAAATTATGAGTTTTGAGATTTCAATAATATGTTGCTGATGCTTATTTGTTTGACGTAGTCAAATGTATGTCAAACGTCTCAAAATATATGTACAGCTTTAAAGTCGTTTTTATTCTCAATTTTTTAATTCTCCCATTCTAATTCCTATACAATTCATATTGCAGTGAGTTTCATGAGTTTGCTTATTCGATGCATTAGAGATTCGGAGGCGGCTTACTAGTATTAAATAAAGTGGGTCCGAGGAAGTATCCTTGTGGAACGCCATTAAAAACAATTCGGCAGGTAGAAACGTTTTGTGTCAGAAAAGTGAAAGACAAGGTGTCTACCTGTCAGGTATGATTTAAGTAGGTTTGTTATCAGCCTGGAAATCTCATGCACTGTATTTTGTATATAATTAAAGTATAATTATTTAATATTTTGTATGTGATTGATGTATTAAAATATAAAGATAAAGATCTTTTATTTTGCCGAATGCTAGCACGTTGGAAAATGAAATATGTAAAAAGTATTCGAAATTCAAAATTCGAGCCTGGAAATACAAGCGTTCGAGTGCAGGACTATGTGTATTCAAAAAGTAGTGGCTCTAGCTGACGTCGTTTTTCCATAATGCGAGGAGTACACATTTAATAGCTTTGCCGATTAGCTGTAATGACTGGAGATGGCTTATTGCGTTGATATAATTGCATAGATGGAAGGATGGCACTTGCAGACAGACGTAGCCGTCGACTTACCACATAATTCTTATTTCTTGATAAAGCAATTCTTTAGACGCGATATGTGATTCTCACATCAATATACTCCTGCATTTTTGAAAGCTTAATCCATCTTAATATTCGGATTAATTTTGAAATTACACCTAATGAATTGCTATATTATAAACAGTCACTATTTTTAGGATAGAAAAGTGAAGTACCCAAACTAAAATGAAGAATAAAAGGGTTATTTCAAAATAAGTCAGTAGTTTACTTTCATATTTTTTTATCATACATACATATAAACATAAATAAACAGATTTTTCATCATTTTAGTAACAGAGAAGAGACTAAAGGTTTCAAACAAGTCTAAATCTTCAGCGAAAGCAATACTTTAGAAAAATTTAACAGAAGTAGAATTAAGAGAAGGATTGGACGACCAACGGTAGACTTATTTATTTCTGTTTTCCTAAGATACGATTAATGTTATTTAATACAAAATATTAATATCCTCTTAGTTTGTTTATTGTATGTTAAATCACATTTGCAATTCATACTGTAGTGAGCTCGATACAAATTCTGTTTTTTCCTTTTAATACCAATATAAAATACAAAGCAATAAACAACAAGAACGTTTCAGCCATAGTTTTTAAAACTCGCTCTTTCGTTTTCGAAATCAACAGTAAGAAATATAATTTCTTAAGCAACAGCTAGAAAGAGACAGATGAATTGTGCTTATCTTTGACATTAACTCATTTTTATCTCGAACCTGCCATTTCTATGTACCATCTGTATTGACGGAAGATAAAAGTTGCCAGATGAAAACTCTACATTTCACCGCAACTGCTTTCTAGATTACCCCGTAATTCACCTTGAATTTTTCTATGAATGCATTAAAATTCAGACTTCATCCCTGTCAGTATTCCATCCATTTTTAGGAATGACGCATTGCTCTGAAATTCTGATAAAGACTTTCCTTGTATAACGGACTTTCTCTTGTCAAAATGCTCTCGAGATGCAAATGTCACAAATACAAGATCTGTTACAAAGTGAAACATCATTTGTGACACAGATAAGGATATTTAGTGGAACCGCTATTAACAAAAATAATATAATTTATGACACATGCTGATGTACAGAAGAAACGGATATGGAATATAAATATCTGAATAAAATCAGAATATGGATATATGGAAAAAACAAACTATTTATTTTATGCAAAGTTAAAAAATCAAATTTTCCCTCTTGTTGGCTTACTTCTCTATAGATACTGATATTTTATTAACTTATAATGTGTTCCGCCTTTCGATAAACAGTTTGATTTAATTTTTGAATCTCGCAACACAAAATTGTAAGAATGAAATGTTTATTTTTAGAATATATCCATGTATAATAACGAAAATAAAATATTTTCAATTTAAGGTTCCATTATGTTAATCTAACCAGGTATTTTATGTTTTATATCTTTACTGTTACTTCTCTTTCCGTTTTCCTACCAGAACGCAAATTAGATTGAATATTCAAGCCGAAATTATTGGACTGTACGACAGAAGGTGTTTTTGCCTTTTGAAGTCACGTTGCTAGGCTTAGCGAGCTCATTTAAGATTGTATTTTTCGGCGTTGCATTTCAGTTGCCAATGCTTAAATTGTTACGCCGGTGAGAAGTTTGAGACACTTTGCGTTAAATTGGCTACTAAGTTTTAAAATTGCATTTACTGTTACTTTAAGTTACATTGCCAAAAGCGGTTGGCTGATTTGTAAGCACAAGTCGTGCATTTATGTTCCAGTTCTTATTTAATGAAAAGGTTTTTTTCAAAATTTAAGCCTTTTTAATTCTTTTTCAGACGAAGCTATAATTCGATCCAAGACTATTAAGAGTTTGAACTTGGTTTCTACCAGCAAAAAAGACTAAAGTGTATAAACTACAATGTAAATGTGATTCGAAAGTTGTCAAACTTTTTATTAAAAATAGTGCTTATTCGATTCAATGCTTTCCAACTCACAGTGAAAAAGCAGTAAATGTATCACCGTTCATTACATCGCATTTAATCTCCTCGCCTCTCAAAAAGTATTAAATTTAATCTATCATCGATACTTTCGCATGAGGGGGCAATTTCACACATGGGCAATTTAGGGGGTGTATCAAGTAATAGTGGCTTAATGCTTTAAGTTACTGAAATGATTTCGTTTCGATTGAACGAGTACACATTTTATAATGACTATTAAATCAAACTACAGCTTTTATTCGAGAATTTATGTCACTATACTCGAGACAAACAACTGTAATTTGGACACAATGTACAACAATGATACAAACAGTTTATTCCTGCCAATTATTATATTCTTTAAAAATTATTTATGGGAAAGCTTTAATCGCTATAAATCACCTAATGAACTTCTAATAAAATTTCGTTAAAAGATACTTGAATTTGAGGCTACAGATGAGCTAATATTTCTCACTATATAAGACGTATTACACCTTTACAAAAAACAGCGTTTATTTTCATTAGAATAATATTATTTTTCCTTGATATATATATATAGAACATTTCAAAATTTCATATACTTTCTTATTGGGTTGTGATTTTGACTAAACACGATACATTTTCGTATCTAAGCCATTTTTCTATTGATTTGGAATAGCACACAGACGCTACTTCAAGCTGAATTTCTGGTATCGAAATCTCCAAAAAACTCATCTGTGCATCCATGAATAACTTGTACCTTCTGAAGCTTCGCTACTCTCTGAATCTGAAATAATGACATATTTGATATCAGAGGTGTTAAGGAAACAAGAATCAATGTATAAATTTTCAGGACTAGTTCCGAAGGTTTTTACCATAGAATTTGCTTCTTCAGATGCAGAAGTCCATTTGAACTTCTGCATCTGAAGAAGTTTTGCGTTTCTAAAGCTGTATTTGCGTTTCGGAAGCTGATGTTTTATGTTTAAACCTTCGAAACTGGTTCCACAAATTTACAGACATAACGCCGATTCTGGTTGTTTTAACGCTTCCAAAAATAATGTTATTTTAACTCAGATATTTTTTATATCTTGCTAGGTATTTAGACGATATTTGGAGAGGGTACATTCTAAACTTTACAATAGACTTCTTTTTCATATTTCTGGAAATTTAATTTCAGATGTTGGCAATAATAATACCAATTTTGTCTTGGTGGAGTCAAACATAACAATATATAGATAAAGAAGTGGATTTCTTGCCAATCTGTATAATTAATAAAAGATTTTTCTACAGCTATATTTTATTTATGCGGTTACAAGCTCTAAGATAAAATAAGATCCTATCCACAGTACCCTTTGTAGACCCCCAATATGCACTTTTCTCGTGTCCATAAGACCAGAACACGACAGATGGATTCCTTTAAAAGCGAAAGCTTAAAAAAAAAAAAAAAAAAATTGGTTACAGAATATTCGTTTGCCTGCAGCCTAACAATAAGTTTGCTACATTTTATATTGGTTTATTTTCAAAACAAGTTCGTTTGTTTGTTTATTTTTAACTTATTTATCATTTAAAAAATAAAAAAAACCTTTATTTTTAGAGCTTTCGGAAATTTTGTCTTGATTTGTTTAATGAGTATGTTTCATTTTTTATTTCGATATTTTATTCCTTAAAGAATAAGCTTTGTCAACTGTCTTCTTTTCCTATCTTCCTAAATCTACTGAAAACATTGAAAATCTGGCTAAACCAGTTTCCAAAGATACCGACATTCTGACCTTTTACCATAGTTCGTCTAAGTTTCAAAATCTAACGGATATATTTCATCTGTCATATTTGCTGAATTTTAAAGAAAATTACAATATCGCGATACTCTATTACGATAAATTATTAATTTTTAATATGTTTAAAAACATAATAATATTTGAAAATACGTTAATTTAGACGAATCTGACAAGCCTCGGTAGCGCAGTAGGCAGCGCGTCAGTCTCATAACCCGTACTAGCGAGAAATCTGAAGGTCGTGAGTTCGATCCTCACCCGGGGCACGCTGTTATTGTTTTGGTAGTGTGCTTTACTTGCACTAGTCTGACACTTAAAATTTCTTAATATTTAAGATGTATTTTAATGAAGTAAAGATTGTTACATTCTATGATACGAAACTAAAGTCGGAAATAATTACGAAATTTTTAAATATGTTTTAATAAAGCATTTGGTTTATAATTTAAATTCACTGCGACCGAAAGCTAGATTTAGTAAGTAATTATTAATTACATTATCTATTTTTTAAAACAGAATTTGTATTGCGACTTCAGATTTTCTTGCAACCTTTCGCATAAACCGAAATCAACCAAAACAATGATTTTGTTTCCTATCCAGTTTTTATAAAAATGTGTGAAAGCTTTATCTCATAATTTTTAGAAGTTTCAATACTTTGATTTCAATTTATTTGTTAGATGGCGGTAAAACTTTTGATTGCATTATTTATTTACGCGATGTAAGATGCAATCTATAACGTAGTTACGAAAACAGAATAAAAAATATGTTTATTTATTTTGTTTTGTTTATTAAATCATATACATAGGGCTAATGGCGCTTAAAGAAGAGAAATCATGTTTGATTCTCTCGAAATGCACATAATTCATTCATAAAATTAGCTTTAGGCTAAGGCTAACTTTTGACTAATATTATACTTCAAACTATCGTGCTCCTGTGACATAGTCAACAATCAGGACCTAGATTTGCATTTCTAAGATAAATAAATTTAATTTTATAAAACTAGGTACAATCGCTACATTTAAAACTGATCTTTTCTACAACTCAGCGAGAGAAACTCCGTGTCCATCTCTTCCTGTTCGACTTGAAATATTATCTCAACTGTCCGAAACCCATGATGGGATGGAGGGGAGGAGCCGTTCCTTCCGACAAAGGCAACTGGTCTATCTGATTCTTTGTGACGTCGGCACCAAGTTCTCATCAGTACGAAAATTTATCACGTTAAAAAAAGATAAAAATAATAAAATTCCAAGATAAATTTCAAGATAATAATTCTAAGTATGGTGAAACTAAGAAAGGATTAATTCTCTTCCTGTAAGTTTATTAAGCATCGCTAGTTCTAAATGTTTCAGATTTATCTTGCTTTTTCTGTCTCTAACTGTGCAAAAGTTTATGTTTTTAGCACACACGTAATGCAAAAATGTTTTATATAAATTTCTCAAAAGTTTCATCTTGCAGCAGAAATGTACTAGGAATTAAATAAATAAACTGAGTAGCAAGATTTAAATTAATTAACTGTATTTCGACGCTTAGCACATTTCAAAAAACTTATTTTAAATAATTTTTTGGCCTTTTAATGTTTACTCTGTTATAACTCGAGTCCTAAAACATAAGAGCGATTAGCAATACAAGTTTTAAGACAAATGAGAACGCATCCGAAATGCTTCCTGTTACCATCTTCCTTCTTTAAATTAGTGATGCATGATACGCAATATTAATGGCTTCAGAATATTCAGATTATAATGATCAGTTATATTCTAGTCTAGGACGTCAAGCATGACATATAAGGCATGGGAATTGTAATCATTATGGTCAAAGAGTATATTATATACCTTCTTAGATCCCCGCTTTTCTCTAAGCCGAAAGGGGCGTTAACCCAGAAGGGCTACTAGTCTCGAAACTTCATTTTGGGTTGAATCACTTTAATGTGATGTATCACTTTTCAAATTGTTGCCACTAAACGTGAAGTTGGCTCAAAACTTAACCGACGTGGCACTTACAATACAAAGCCCGAAGACTATAAATCTTATCTAGCAATCCTAGCACAGTCGCCTCGACAAACAGAATACTTATAGTACGGATACGAATTGCGAAGTTGCCTTTCTGGTCAAGAAAGTCAGGTAAAAGTGGGAAGACCATTGTCCTCCTATATTGCATGCGTCCTAATCTAACGAAATGAGACGAGAGACAAAAGTCACCTCGCGCGAGGAAACAAGTAAAGGTTGGCAGTCAAAGCTGTTACCAAGTTGTGATCTCTAAGCATGTGAGTAGCAAATGGTTTTATCAAATTATCTTCTGGAATGATTTGGTAACTAAGAACTTCTGAAAAATTTGCAACATCATAGTTAAATCAGTTTTGAAGAAACGCTTATTATGTTTAGTAATGTGGTCCACTTTAGTATCGACTTTCAATTTGTCGTGGATTAGTTTGTTTCTAACAAGAAGATCCCCACCTTAAATACACTTGAACTTTAAATACACGCTAACTAAATTTGCATTTTGGTGGGAAAACGAAAAGGAAAAGTGATAGTAAGGAGCCAAAACATAAAATAACTGGTTAATTAACGTAAAGAAACCTTACAGTATTCTCCGTCAAAATGTAAGTACTTGAAAAGAAAATCTTTAATGACCTTAGTAAGATCTTCAATTTTAAAATCCTAGCCAACTTTTAATAATCAAAAACTTACAATCTAAGCTAAAACTAAAGTTTATAGATGATCACATCAAGAGACAATAATTTCATTACATCCAAAAAGCTTCTCAGCATAATCTTATCTCCTTTCAGGGATCTAGAAGGAAAAATAGTTTAGCAAAAACATCTAACACATTTTAAATAATCACTTTCAAAATCTCTCATACATTTTGCAATTATTCTACAATTAGTTTTTTTACTACCTCTGCTGTCCATAAAATGAGTGGAAAAGCGTGTGTTACTGTACAAGTATATCAACACTGACACCTGACCGAAATCCTACCTGTTAAAACTTCGACACTTTAGATCTCAAGAGCACTTTTTTAATTCAAAACTATTCGTAATGTGCTGAGCTCAAAATTTTCGTTAAGGTAGCGCTGGCTGGAGAGCCTAACTTTTAATTAAATGCATACCACCAACTTTTACTTTAACTAATTGTGTCTTACTTTGATATCTTACACTTAAAACATTTTATGCACACATTTCAATTCAAATTTACACGCATGCAAGAATTGCTGGTGTTGTTAACATTCTCACTGGTCTGACAAAAGTTAGCACAAGTCCATGAAATTCATTGTGGCAAGGAGTGACATGCGCCTGTCGTTGGCAACAGCCTTCAGCATCGTATAGGTGATACCCTGTCTTTATATACACGGTATTTATTACACACGACACTGTATTTAATTATGTGCTACTCTTTTATATAGAAGACACGTCACGCTGTACATAAAAGCTTACAAATACACACTTACAACTTCAACGACCGGCGCTTAACTCCTGTCCACACTCGATTCGTGCTACCCGATGCTTGGCGCATGCCAGTCGTAAGTTCGATTACGATTAAATTCTCGATACACCACAGGTGACAGCCCGACTTACCTTAGTTCCACCCCCAATTTTGAGAGACAAGTCGGAAGGTTTCCATCCCTCTTCACCTAACACCAATGTATCGATTTAGAGTGCTTTCATGTCGCACAGACGCTATATACTTACAAACATCCATGTCTTTCCCGGCCCTTTGGTACAGCAGTCAGCGTCGCTAACTACTATCCCCGTTAGGCTGTCTGCAAGAATTTCTTTTAATTCATAGCTTAACAGTGTCTTTCACATTAAAAAAAAAATAGCTTACCAAACATACTTTCAACCATTTACAGTTCTTTTACACTGAGAAAATTTTATTCAATTGACACTTTGTATCACGTGTACAGATATTGCTTAAATTTATTCTACAAATACATCAAACTTCCTCAAAACTCAGGCTCTTGAATTAAAATCAGTATGGCTGTTCTTAAACTAAATTTAAGATTTATGCGTTAGATGCGTAATGAAATCAAAAGCTTCTTGCTACATAACAAAACTGACTTCACTTGAGGCAGAACTTAAGCTAGATAGCAAATGGCGGCATAAATTAAAAACTGAATACTTTAAGGAATTAAAATTCACTTATGCTTTTGCTTCGCTGGTAGTCGCTCATCCGTTTCGCAATGAAACCGTTACATAACTCCTTTGTGGTGATTCCTCCTGCCTTGACCACTTTCGGCGTAGATGTTGCGTTAAAGATACTTCGCTGGCCTCCTTAGGTATTTTGCTCGCTAATCCTTCCGCTGGCTCTGATTCTCCATTGGTGGCTCGATGGATCTAGTTTAGATTCTTAAACTGCCCTTTATTACTCTTTAATCCTATCCCGCTTCTCTACCTCAGCTCGTTCCCTTTTGATGCAATGAACCTTGGCAAATTTTTCTTTTCGCTTCATCATACTTTTATAGCACTTATTACGCGTTTTCAATAATTCATGATGGCCAGTAACGTTTTGTGCGATATGCTTTTCTACAGAACATAACATATAAAACTGATTCTTTTAAAACCAATTAAATAGAAACTGAATTCAGATAGAGCTAATAAATGCAGTAACGATATATTTCAATGCAAAGTTATTTATAAGTTATTTTTCAAGTATGTAATTAGAAGTAAATCTTTATATATATATATTTACAAGTTTAAGATTTGTGAATGTCCTGGACATTTAAAATGTCCCTTGTATTTTAATTTTTTATTGCATTATTTTCAAGCTAAATTTATGTGATTCTGATATTATTCATAAAAAAGCTGTGCTTGCGTTTTAGTATTGATAAAATTTTACAGGTATTGTTAGGTTTCTTATAAAAAAATTACCAATAAAAAATCACGAAAATAAAATCTGAAAGCTTTCAGGTTTTATACTACGCCCAAACGGGTGTTTTCTTCATTTACAGACACATACATGTTTCGAGAGTATTTGAGCTAACGCCACATCGTGCTGAAAATATTTAAAAACAGCATATCTTTAGAATTTCCGATAAACAGTGTCGCGCGCTGGAGATAAAAATGTTTTATTCCCTATAGTGTTGCCACTGCTCGCAGGACTATGTTATGCAAAATTTGATGACTCTAGGTACCGTTGCTTTCACGATGGGAGAAACATACCTCCATTCATATAGATTCTTCATTATTTAGTTTCTTTAAATATAATACAAGACGATAATATTTGATGGCAACAGTTTGGAAAGTGATTTGGATATTTAAAGTGGTACGACGCAAAATGATGCTTTGAGATTAATAGCCCTTCTGGGCTAAAAATTTTAATAAATGTGTAAAATTCAATGAAGAATTTATATTACGAAAAATATGCATAATACGCATAATTATTAACTACCTTAAAGTTTGAGCGAAAAATATTTTTTTTTCATTTATTTTAACGTCCCGTGTCGCCTTAAGACATAACAGGACTTAAGGCTTACTGTTTAATACACTTAATGATTTTTTAAGAGAAAAACCTGAAATGAAAAATCTATTAACGATCGATCATAAGGTATTTGTGAGATTTCAGTCGATATCTTTTAAAAATTAAATATTGTGACGTCGTGGATGCTTCAGTGGGAACGGAATCAACACTCTTATTGGTGATGCATCACTTTTTATTCACACAACATATCACAGATACAACATTTAATTAATACATTTAGAAAACTATAGTAGATATCCGAGCTGGTGACACGATCAGAGACGTTAACGAAGATGGCACTCGTCATCACTCGACGAACAAAGTCTCCACACCTCAGCTCGCTGGCGGAGCTTCCCAAACTCTCTCCTCACAGGCGTCTCACAGAAGTCTCATCTCTTTACGCATGCGTATTACTCAGTTAAGTCGTTGCCATTCACAGTTCTTTAAAATAGGCGTTAAAATGAATTACAGTCCTCGTAGTGTGAGGAGTCTGCTAACGAAGTTCTCTCTAGTCGAGAGCATCATAGGTCTTTCTAGTAGAGAGTTCAGGAGCGTTCTTTACAGACTAACTCCTTCCGCCTCCAGATTTTGTTTTCCTCGGACACAGAGGAAACAAAACTTTTTTTTTAAGTTCCTGCGGGATAAAATACAAGTTCAGGCAGGCGTTCGCTACAAACAAACACCTTCTGCCTCCAGTTTTTGTTTCTCCGGACACAGGAGAAGTAAACCTTCACAGTTCACAGTTTCTGGTTTCAACAGAGATTGTACATTTTACCAGTTAATTTTAAACCACACTGTTACACTCTCATAACCAGGCCATCATAAAAAGAACACATTAAAAAATAGATATACAATATATGAAAAACCAAAACAAAAATTTTTGTCTTTAAGAATAAAGCTAACAATTTACTATATAGTATGAATTAAAAAAAAAAAATACAATATACATAATCAAATAAAAAGACAATTTTAAAAGAAATGATAACTAGTCTATTTAACTGGCATGTACAGAGTTTCTACTTAAGCAGTCTACATTTAAGTTGTCACTTCCCTTTTTATGATGTATCGTAAAATTATAAGATTGCAAGGCTAAGGCCCAGCGTAATAATCGACCATTTCTACCTGCATTATTTTTTAGCCATACTAGGGGATTATGGTCCGTTTGAATTGAAAATTTAGTCTGCCCATCTATATACCCTTTCAATTTTTTTATTCCATACAGAATTGCGGCACACTCTTTTTCAGTGGTGGAATACTTCCGCTCACTATCTGTAAATTTTTTACTGAGATACAATATGGGATGTTTTTTCCCTTTATCATCCTTTCTGGGCTAAAACAACACACCATATCCTTGATCTGATGCGTCTGTCTGTAGTATAAATGGTTTAGAAAAATCGGGTGCATGTAGCACAGGCCTACTAGATAGCTTTTCTTTTAACGATTTGAATGATTCATTACATTCATCATTCCAAACAATTTTACCCCTTTTGTTATTCCCTTTTAACAAATCTGTCAAAGGTGCGGCTATAGCAGAAAACATGGGTATATATTGTCTGTAGTATCCAGCTAACCCTAAGAAAGCTCTAATCTCAGTTTTAGTTGTGGGAACAGGAAAATTTTGAACCGCTTCGATTTTTAGTTCTGCTGGAGAACGTTTTCCTCGACCTACTATGTGACCGAGATATTGCACTTCTTCTTGTGCAAACTTGCACTTAGAGGGTTTAATAGTTAAATTGGCTTTTCTTATTCTTTCTAAAATTTCATGTAAATGTTGTAAATGTTTCTCCCACGTTTCAGAAAAAATAGCAATATCATCGAAATAAGGGGTTTTTAAGCCCAAATGGCACGCAAAGGCGGCAAATGCAGCAATTTAGGAGCGGAATTTGCCCTAGCCTGGTACTTCAACAAGGATCGGATAGGTACGTTGTTTAAGTATCACTCAGGAGGGTCCAGAGGGTGGTTCAATAATCTTGTATTTTAACATTTTTTCAATCTCGACTTTAAGAATTTCGTTCTGTCGATTTGTCATTCTATAAGGCTTATGCTGTACGCGTTTGTCACTGATTAGTTCGATATCATGTTCGACTAAATTTGTTTTCCCTGGAATATTCGAAAATATAGCAGAAAACTTTACCAACAACTTTCCCAACTGCAGGATTTGTTCATCACTAAGTCTTTCTTTAAGATTATCTTTTGCTATTATTTCATTAAAATCAAACACATTGGGTCGGTTAACATATAAGGAAAATCCTCCTCTAATTCCGAGGGTTCAACTATCTCCTCGTTGTCAAGGAGCACCATATTCAAAAGTTCAGGTCTCTTATGATAAGGTTTTA